TGTTGTTTTTACTCTTCGGTGACTGTGTAGATCTCTACAGCATGTGTAGCAGTCTTGAAGCGGCCTGCATATAGTCCTCGTGCCAGACCGTTTGCCACTGCCCCCAGAACCAATAATAGCTTTCGGTCTGATCCCTTGTGCAGGTTGGCTTGATCAACTGTAGGGGGTCATGCATTTTGGGCACGAGGATTGAGTTTTTTGTGCATGGGCACATGTTTGGTTTAGGCTTTTGTGAGTGTGCGGGTCGGGGCTCACAAGGGTGAACTCGCTGCCGGGGTTTAGGTGGGTTGGGATCTCCGCGGGTGCTTCGCTCAAGCCGGTTCGTTCACTCGTGGATCCAACCCCAAGACCCCTTCAGCGGGGATTAGGACCTGTTTAAAAGCAGCTCAACACAGTGATCCCCGGATTATCCCCAAGCTGAAAGGCCCCCACTGAAGCCGACGATTTTCAAGGGACCACAAGCGATGCATACTGTGCTGGTTACTACCATTATTGTTACCGCCACACCTGCTTGAGTGTGGCCTGCTGTTGTGTTTGTTAGGGTTGCAGGGGGTTGCTGCGCAGAACTTCGGAAGGCTGTAGGGATAGACTCGCTTTCTCTGCTTCGCAGACACGGGAGTTTCCGAGAATCCCCGCCCCAAATCACCCCCGGCCGAGAAAGGAATCGGCCGTCCCGGAGGGGGGACCGGTCCTCTATCGGGGACTTCCCAGTACTGTAGCATACAGGCCCGCAGGGCGCGGGGTTTTAAACACGCGTTTTCCTTCCGGTGGGGGGAGGGTTAGATTTAGTAGCGGAGGACTAAGCGCAACCCCGCTTACCATTACAGTACGAGACTGTTCTCAGCACCCCAGTAAATTGTAGGATTCTGCTTGTGAGGACATCTAAGTACAAAAGACAGTACCCGCAACTTCAATAAATCAGCATGCTGACCTTTCCGGGCGTCCATCTTCTGGTATGGGAATTAAGGGTTCAGGCTCCGCCGTTGAGAGCCGACGAGGCCGCCTTCCAGTTCCACCTGGGGGCCCTGGACATGCTCCTGAAGTTGGGGGCGGATCCCAACCTCAAAAACCAGGACCGGCTTGGCTTTCCACAGTGCTGCTGCCGTGTTCAAGTTTGGGCCTCCAGGCCAAGTGCTAGGCTTGGTGGCATCAGGGAGTTATGCTTTGCACTTTGTCTTGGGCTTCGGACTTGTTTTAAAGAACATGCAAAGCTTTGTCCGTGCTTCTGTCTTCGCCAGCAGCAGGATGGTAAAACAGCTCTGGAACTCCTGAATTCTGAGCGCAAGGTGCGCAATTGGAGGTTTGATTTGAGGGCCGAGGGATCAGTTGCTTCTCGGGTTGCGGCGGCGAGATGGAAGGCTTCGGTGATCCGGGGCGTTTCGTGCTTGACGTTTAGGGCGATTTCGTGTGTTCTGGTGGAAGAAGGAGGGAGAATTTCTGCGGATGATACTTAAGCCTCTAGCGTTTAGAGATATGGATTGTCGTGGTCTTGTAAACTATGACGGATCTTTCCTGGTGTCCAAGGCAAGACTTGCTGTTTCAAACAACTCTTCGCAGTCCTATGGTCGAGGCAGAGAGAAACCGAGAGAAAGAGAGCGGGAGGGAGCGAAGGTGAGGCTGCGAGGGACTTCAGGCGTGCATGTATATGTAAGTACGTATGCATGCATGCGCCATTTACATGCAAAACATACACAGACACACTGTAAGGGAAGCCGAGGAGAAGATGTTACGTTGCATCTGTGCGCATAGGAATCTGAACACTGCCGTTGGTACAAGAAGCAATGACCGATGTACAACATGCTATCAGTTTTGACACCCTGTTTTCCGCTCGTTGCGCCTGCTTCGGCCCAGGCCTTTCATAGGAGGCCTGCACGTAATGCCATGTAGACCGCAAAGAATAGCCCTGCACGTCAGACTGAATGCGACTGTTGATTCCGTGTCCTGCCAAGGTAGCTGGGCCCTGTAGGTCGTGACATAGCCCTGAGCCCAAGGAGCTTATAAAGCCTAAACGGCCCTGCCGGAACTCAAAGATCTTAAGGTCAATGACCCTCAGCTCAAGCTTCCACTGGTCCAAGTCAGGCGCTCCCTATCCATGACGTCAAGCATCAGAAGATGGCACAAGACTGCCTGTCAGAAACTCGGAAAGACCAAGGGGACGTTTTTTTCTGTTGGTTTCGTGAAGGGTTCATAGTCGGTGGGTGTACGGCTCGAAATCGACATACATGAGATGCACTCCCAGTCTCCGATACAATTTTGAAGGGTTTGCGATCCCGGATTCCTGCCCCGGCTAGTGGTGGACATGCCATCCTCAGTACCCCTCACCGGTGGCACGGCAGGCATGGTAGCAACAAGGTGAAGGGACTGTGGAGGACAAATCTATCAGACTCTGCAGAGCATGGCGGAAGCAATACCCTGACCAGCCTGGCAAACACAATTCTCCAGCCATGAGCTCTCCAAACACGCGGCGTGGCATTCTCCAAGGTTGCGTCTTCGCAGGTATGACACGGCCGCCGGCAGAGCACCTTTGAGCAAAGGTCGCCGTCGCCGGGTCGGGGGTTTCCGCAGGGCTGTAGAAACCTAACCCACGAGCATGTGACCCACAAGTGTATGGCTTCTAAGCTCAGGCCTGAACCTGTAATTGAGGTGTGCGCGGCTTTCAAAAAATAAGCAGCAAAAAAGGTACCTGTTCGTATTGCTACCCTTGTACGTTGGCCGTCAATTTGGATATTTGGGGAGTTTATGCAATCGCCTTCATGGGGCTGTCGCCTCACAAAAGCCGCCACATGTTACTGTTCGAACCATGCTTGACAGTTCAGCTGTACTGCAGCAATACCAAGAGATAATGAGTAAGTGTAGTAGTATAGCATCCCGTAGTCATAACCACTTTAAATGACACGTCCATGCAGTTGTCGTCGTCGTTGTCGTCGTAGTGTTAGTCAGATTCACAGTTGTATGGTGTTTTTGCACCGGGAGCTGGGCCGGGGTTGGCAGATGCCACCGAAGGGATCTGACCAAACGGAGACTCGTGGAGTCACAGTGGAAGCAGCCGCAGCCTCAAGTGACTGAAGTGGTTTGTGCGGATGATGCTGGAGTGGAAGGTCAGGCCAGTGAGCCCAATATTCTTTGAGTAAGGGTCTTTTTACCAAGGCAGCCGCACACAAAGTAAGTACTGCCGCTAGATGTTTGGGCATGCCTGCATGAAGACGAAACCAGCCCCATGAGTATGTCCCGACGGACAGAGGTTTTGCGGCACAGGACCCCTCTATAGAACACTCCAACAAGTCCTTGATGTCGATAGCAGCCTGCGCAAAGGCATTTGTTTGAAAGAATTTGTGTTTCTTACCAGGGTCTCTAGCATAAGGATCCTTAGAATCAGGGTCCGCGAGGGGTCTTTCGCTTAGGGATTTTTTTCATACGAGAGTTCGAGCCAAGCAGCGACTTCTGTGCTTGGGATGACTCGGTTTGTCAGTTGTCCTGTTTGACACCGAGGCAGGAGGGTTGCATGGTGAGTACTCGTATTATGTAGCAGGACAATTCCGTAGAAACAGTCAGTATACCTTCTTCCATGAAAGGCCCGGTGTTGTGTTTCGCCTTTTTCACAAGAACGTCTTCGAGACTCCCTGTCATGTAAAGACTATCTTCTTTGGAGTTACGAACTGACAATATCACCAGCATTGGCAGCAGCAGCTGTTGCGGCAACAATAGCACTCCTCCTCCTACTGCAACTCCCACACCTGTTGCTGACTGCCACTACTGCTACTACTGCTGCTACTGCTGCTGTTGCTGCTCCTACTAGTACTGCTATAGGCCATAGTACTTCTGGTACTACTAGTACCAGCAATAGTAGCAGTAGTAGTAGTAGTAGTAGTAGTAGTAGTAGTACTACTACTACTACTACTACTACTACCACTTCTACTGCTACTGCTTTCCTGCTACTACGACTACTACTACTACTACTACTACTACTGCTGCTACTACTACTACTACTACTACTACTACTACTACCTCCTGCTCCTGCTGCTGCTCTTGCTGTTAATGCCATGATGACGAGGACGACACTGACTACCACCACTGCCGCTACTACTGTCAGGTAATGTCGCGTAGGCATGACCCTTATGGTTTGTTAGTACATGTATGCATGTAGACTATACAGACATACATATTCACGAAACCCCGAGCATGAACATCACAGTAGGTAGAGACCACGGATGTTCATTTGTTTGTTCATTCGTCCGCCGGTGGCTTCTGCAGCTTGTCAACTCTTCCGTTGTCCTTCGTCGCGCACCATGCAGTGCTGTGAGCCTGCAGTGAACGACGAGACCTGGCAGAAACCTGAAATTTGGTTTCTGAGGCAGTTTTCGGATTCAAGATGTTTTCGTGCGGGAGAGCACCCAAGTGTAGCGACGCGTGAGAGTGAGGTGACTCATTTGCTAAGCAAGCTTTGCAAAAACTCCAAGTAGGTGTCCGTACCGGTGACCCACATGTAGCAGATTTTGACTGGGTTTTACATCTGACATGCCAGCCAGGAAAAGGATGCCATCACTATCCCAGGGGAGACCGCGCCGATCGAGAGCGTGTCCCACGGCTGCTCTTGATGGGTATGCACTATAAATCGCACAACGATTCTCCGAATGTTGAGCAAGGAACATCTCCCGTGAAGGATGATCACCGTCCTTGAAGACAGCGGGTCGACGTAAGAAACGTTTTGTGCTTCTAAGATGAAATCTCAGTTGCCCCAGTGTCCTCGACCGAAACGTCTTTGGGACTTCAGGATGACATAATGACATACCATGAGGATTGACGGCTCTTTCCTCAGGAAGAGCATAAACCGAAGTCCGTCAACGTTTTCGGTGACGTTGCTACGCCAGTCAAAGGTGGCCTGCGGTGCCTACCGACCACTGGTCCCCAAGGGCTTCCGTATTGACACGGCGTAATATGCTACAAAACGCAGATACGTAGCCTATTTATGCAAGCCCGAGCTGCAAGACACGAGAGCCAAGGCCTGCAGGGCCCGAGGAAGCTGCAGAGGCGCAGCCGGACTTAAAAGTCGCCGCTGTGGCGCTTGAGGATGAGGAAGCTCTGGTGCACAGCAGGTACAATTATGAACGGTATAGCCCTTATACTTACTGGGCGCCTGTTTGGAGGTAGCATAAACCGTTGAAGACAGAGAAGCTTAAGCTCTTCGGGAAGAAGCCACTTTGGCAAGTAAGGAAGCGCCTCCGATTGCGGAGGAGGAAACAGCCGAACCTGTGAAGGCCAAGCCAACCAAATCTTCCCTCTGCAAGCTCTTCTCACAGATGGATGCGGTGGAGGCCTTGGTGTTGGTTGTGGGCACGCTATGTGCAATGGCCCACGGGGTAGCGCAACCGCTCATGATTGTCATCTTTGGCGATCTCATCGATGCACTGGGCGGAACTCCTGAAGAGGTCCAGCGTGAGACGGAACGGCTGTCTCTGATTATGTGTGCTGTGGGTGGCGGAGCTTTGGTGGCAGCGACGCTTCAGGGGGCATGCTTCAAGATCTTCTCTGACTCGCAGACCATGAAGTTCCGGATTATGTATTTCCAAGACATCCTGCACCAGGATGTCGGTTGGTTCGATACCAAGGAAGTCTCGGCATTGTCGGCTGAGATCCAGGACGACCTGTCCAAGATCCAAGATGCCTTCGGTGACAAGTTTGGCAACGGTACCCTGGTCAATTCGTTAGCATCCTTCAGTTGGTTCAAGCCCCAAGCGCAGCAGCATGTGCAGTGCTATGACAGCTGATTTGTCGCATCCGCGGTTCTGCGGCACTAGCACCACTACTATGGCCACCGAGGCTCTGCTTCTACTACTGCCAGCACAACCACAAGTACTAAGTTACTAACGCAACTACTGCCACTTCGGGATCAGATCCCCGAAATCATATGAACTCCTAAGCCCCAAACCCAGGATACTCCTGTCAACGACGTTTTCTTATCCCCATGCACACCTTTCGTAGAGCCGAGGTGTGATGGCCTTGTCGGCCTTCCTTGGAGGTTTTGTTTGCGCCTTTGGCCTCGGCTGGCTGCTTGCGCTCATCCTCTCCGCCGTGCTGCCTTTCATGGCACCCCAGCTCTTCTTTGAGAGTATGGGGAGTTCAGGTATGGAGGTGGGGATGTATTTTTCAGTACTCCGGTCTGTTTGTTAGCTACAAAAGGCGTTAGATGGGTACATCATATGAGCCAAAGGTATGCGTGATGTTAGCTACCCTGCTGAATCGCAATGGATCCCCGATCCTCCAAACACAGTGCACCCGGATTCCTAGACGAGACCCACGAATTGCAGACCCAGGCCATGGGAACGTACTTCGTCGGCCAGGCTGTTGCCGAGGTGCGGAGTCGTGCGGACAAAACCTCGATTCTGGTTTGAAGTTATGGATGCTCTCGCGAATGGACGTTATCATTATTTGGCCACCGGATCCTGCCGCGAGTGCATGTTATCATGTGCTGAAAATGCACACAAATGCTGCGCCTGCCGCTGATTTGATTCTCAGCGGAGGTTTTCACAAGAGCCTTTTCCGAAACACACAATAAAAGCAGACGGTAAGCAATCTGACTACTCTCGCACAAAAAGGGTTCTCAGGCGGTGTCCATGTGGGAAAATGTCGAGCTTGTCGTCGGATTGCGTCCCCAGAGAATGTTTTCACGCTTGTATGTTGTCGCAGCTTGGGCAAATAGACACGACTACCGCTGCCACTTCAACGACTCGTATTAGCAATACTATAGTACTGCTACTACTGCTGCTGCTGCTGCTGCTGCTGCTGCTGCTGCTGCTGCTAGTGCCACTCCGACACCTATATGCTTCATTACCACGCACCGCAGAAGTAACACCACCACTAGCACCAGCAGCACCGCCACCAGAGTACTACAATATACTACCACCGGCGGCACCTGCTACCATGGCGTCTGCTGGCACAGCGGCCAAATTTGTTTCATTGCTGCTGCATCTTCTCTCCACCATGAGGTGCAGATGGAGTCTCAGGGCTGGTACGCTAAGGCCGCCAGCGTGGTGGAGGACCTACAGTCTTGATCAGTGCCGGCAGTCGCTATACAACCTCTGTGGCTACGTGCTTTTCGCAAAATCAGCAACGTACACATATATATATATATATATACACACACACTCTCTCTGTCTCTCACACACACACACCACACACACCACAAATCTGGAAGCACAAGACTGGTCGATACGGCGGGACCCAAGCTTTATGAGAAGGAAGTCGGTTGATTCGAAATAGTGTGCACGTCTGCACATGCCCTCATGACTGTCGCAGCATAACTGCATAACGAACCCGCTGCAAATTCATTCAGTCTAACATGTACGGATTGCACCACAGTTGGTTGAGACACACACACACACACACGAACGCCAAAGTCAAAACGGCTAGAGCCGAGTTCCCAAACTGTACATGTTCGACTGCCAACAACACTGAGCCTTAACGCCACGATGCTATGCTGTATTTCGACAATGAAAAAGCCACGGAGCATCAACTACATTTTCATACAAACCAGAGACCCAGAGACCCTGTGCAACAGTGGAGGAGTGCCTGTACGGCATGCGCACGGTGGTGGCCTTCGGCAGCGAGCAGAAGGAAAGGGCTTGGGCTTAAACGATTCGATTTGCAAGGCCTCGATGCAGGGGCTGCACAAATCCCACTCCTCAAACGTAGTTCTGCCTAGCCCCTGAGCCGTCCGACCCACAGCTCGGTCCTTACTATAATGACTATCGCTGCTGTGTTCGCGTGTCTTCCATGTTCGTGGAGCGCTTGCCTGAGACCCCCACCCCCGTGGCCACACAAAACCAGGTCTGTTTGCCTGCTGAAACTGTGTATTCTATATAATTGTAAAGGGAAAGATACATATCCCCCGCAAGGCTGTTCTCACATTTACTGAACACGTTCTACTGCAGCACATGGCTTCGGACTGACATGAATCGACATGTAAATCAAGCGAGCTGGGCACACCAATCATCTGATGAAGACGCAGTCGAAGGAGGAATTGATCAAGCGCAAAATTGATGGTCTCCAAAGATTGCTTTATGACGGCGTCATGAGAAGACGAGCCGTGGCATTGGAGAGCGGTTGTACAAGTAAAACATATCAACACTCCCGTGAAAGCGACTGCGGAGCCTACAGCCGCATGAGAAGAGAGAGCAACAGCTTCGAGCCGTGGGAGGCGGTTGCAGTCGGGTTCAGGGCTGGCTCACTCTACCCTTCAGTTGGCAAGCAGAGACTTTTTTTCTCTCTAGGTACGGGGAAGAGATCCTGATTATCCCCTTTACTTCCTGAAAAGATGGAAGAAAGCATGCGCTAAAGCCGGCAGCGGCATTGTCTATAGTTGGTCTCACTTGATCATATTCTTGGGTGTTTCGGTTCGCGTGCACAACGATCGTCGGGGGCTCAGCTTTGCCCATGGGAAAAAAACAAAAGGGTGGAGCTCGCAACCTTCAAACAAAGACGTCTCGTCCTCTCCTCAAGCTTCAACACGAAAGAGAACTCCTCCACCTCACGCTTTAAGACAAGAAGAGAGCTTTTTCTAAAAAAGAGCTCGATTACGTCTTGGCAAGTCGCCTCTCAATCCTCAAAAGAATGAAGATCACTCCTAGCAAGACAGGACACAGCCGCCCCACGCCCCAGCCTTCAAAAACAACGTGTCAGTTCTCTGCCTAAGCATCGAAAACAGTAAGAAAGCTCACTCCAATTTCACGAGAACGAAGAGCGCTCCTTTACCTCTCGGTGGAGGACGAGATCCCCTGGCAGGTCCTCTACCCCAACAACTCGGAAGAGCGGCCCCTCTAACTTCTCGAGAAAGAAGAGCGCTCCGTTTACCCTTCAGTCCGCACGAAGAGACATCCTTTCTCTCTTAGTCAGGGGCGAGAGCTCTTGACCATCTGTTCCTGTTCTTCAAACATGGAAGTGAGCTTACGATAAAGAAGAATGATGGAACTTTTCCAAACTTCAAACCTAGACAAGACATCTCTGGGCGTCCCCGCGGCTCAGAAAGAAGTGAGAAGCCCTGTGCCTGATTCTCAGAACAAAAAGAGAGCTCACTCCAAGCTTGGTAAGAGAAGAGGATTTGTTTCTAGAGAGCTTGTTTACCTTTTGGTAAAATTTTATCTTGATTTTAAAAAGACTGAAGAGAGCTCGCTCCTAGT